GGTCTGCTGGGCTCAGGCGATCCTTCCGCCTCAGCCTTCCAAGTAGCTGGAACTATAGGCGTGTGCCACCACACCCAGCTAATTTTTTGGTTTATTGTAGAGATAAGGTCTTGCCAATTTGCCTGGGATGTTCTCAATTCCCTGGGCTCAGGCAGTCCTCTAGTCTCTACCTCCCAAAGTGCTGGGATTACAGGCATGAGCCACCACACCCAGCAGGTCCAGTGTTAATCAATCCTTCTTCTCTTCCAGTTCTATGCCTTTGATGCCTCATCCTTCATTCCCTTTGCTGTAAGGGCAACTTGACCAAGCCTCAGCCCTTTCTCAGGCTCCCAGGGCCGGACTTGAATGGATTTCATCCCGGACTTGCTCCTGATGAGCCTTGCTGCTGCCATGCTGGATTCCAAAGATCCACTCTTTTCTCACTGTCTGGCAGAGTCAGGCCCATTGGTTAGAGCTTGTTGTGTATTTGGTGAGGAGGTTCAAAGTGAAGGAGGGATTCTGTTTTGGGCGTTGAACCTAGAAGCGAAAATAAGCTGAGTCTAAAAGCACTGAGTGCCCATTGTTTGGGCAGCTGTTAATAAGCCATGTTTCCATGAAAATAAGTCCTTTTCATGAGGCAGTTGTGTGGGCATAGCTAATTCTGGCCTGATGTTGTGTAGTGTAAGATTAAAACATGGTAACTTGTCACAGCACAGTTCTTGTTCTTTTTGCTGTGGGCTGACTGAACATTCCTTACTTTGTTTGCTCTAGAATGGAATCTACTCACCATTTACTAAAGTGAAATGCATTTCTTGGGGGAGGCAAAGTCCAGTTCACTAGGTTGAGCATCTTTTTCTTTTTTTTTGAGTCAGAGTCTCACTCTGTTGCCCAGGCTGGATTGCATGGCCACCGCAGCCTCAGCCTGCTGCTTTCAGGCCATCCTTCTGCCTCAGCCTTCCAGGTAACTGGAACTACAGGCATGTGCCACCACATCCAGCTAATTTTTTTTTTTGAGTTGGAGTCTCAATCTGTTGCCCAGACTGGAGTTGCAGTGGCCGCTCCCGGCCACTGCATCCTCAACCTGCTGGGCTCCAGCAATCCTTCCGCCTCAGCCTTCCAAGTAGCTGGAACTACGGGCACGCACTACCATGCCTGGCTAATTTTTTATTTATTGTAGAGATGAGGTCTCGCCAAGTTGCCCAGGCGGGTCTCGAACCCGCGGGCTCAGGCAATCCACTCACCTCAGCCTCCCAAAGCGCGGGATTACAGGCTGAGCCACCGAGCCTGGCTTTTTTGATTTATTGTAGAGATGAGGTCTCGCCGTGTTGTTCAGGCTAGTCTTGAACCCGTAAGCTCAGGCGATCCTCTTGCCTTGGCCTCCCAAAGTGCTGGGATTACAGGCATGAGTCACTGTGCCTGCCCAAGGTTGTGCATCTTAAAGAGGAAGGAGCCCTGTTCCTTCTGTCACTGATTGCTAGGAATGTCATTTAGCTTGGTGCAATCCAGATTTCAGTTCTGGGGTTGAGTTTTATATGCTGGGGCTCTTTTGTGTCTTTAAAGAAGCTTATATTTATTGTCCATGTCTTGTTCCCTGTAGTACAGATTAATTTTTAAAACATTTAACAATAGGTGGAGGTGAGCATTAGAGCAAAAGCTAGCATAGCAGAAAGTGCACAGACTTTGGCATCTGACAAGTGTGGGTCACATCCTGACCTCAGGCAAGTTATTTCACCTCCAAACCTTAATTTCTTCCTTTTTTTTTTTTTTTTTAGTCGGAATTTCACTCTGTCGCTCAGGCTGCAGTGCAGTGTCATGTTCACGGCCACTACAGCCTTGACCTTCTGGGCTCAGGAAGTCCTTTTGCCTCAACCTTCCGAGTAGCTGGAACTACAAGTACATGCTACCACGCCTGGCTTATTTTTTTATTTATTGTAGAGACAAGGTCTCACCAGGTTGCCCAGACTGGTCTCAATACTCTTGCCTTGGCCTCCCAAAGTGCTGGGATTACAGACTTGAGCCACTGTGCCCAGCAATTTCTTTTTTTTTTTTGAGTTGGAGTCCCACTTGAGCCACTGCGCCCAGCCCCTCCCACTGTGGGAGATTTTCTGTCCTCTTAATAAATCCTGCTTTTAAAAAAAAGAAAAATGGGAATGGTAGAGCCCACCTGGCTAGAGTGTTTAGAGGATAATGTATGGAAAGTACCTGGCCTCATAATTATTCAGAATCTTCAACAGAAATCATCCTTTGTATTTTTACTAGAAGCCGATGCTGAACTCACCTCCATTGGGGTAGGTAGTTTTTTCAGGAAGGAAGGGGCTCCTTTCAGTAGCTCTTTTGATTCATAGTCTCTGTACTGCTGACATGATGGCTATCCAGGTACCTGGCTGCCTTTCATTTTCCTCAAGGGTTTATGTGTTCTCTGCTACTAGCCAGCCTAAGATGAGGCTGAACCTTCTCAGATACACTTGGGGCCCAACATCTGTGCTATGGCACGTACTACCCATTTCTTCACAGCAGTTTGACTCGTCTTCTGAAGTCAGTGTTAGGGGAGCGCTTTCCTTAGGTTAGGCTCCTTGGAGTTTCCATAGCTCCTTGCTCACTCTGGAGTTACGTGGTAGTGTGCTCCATGTAGTATGATCTCAGGTGATCCTTTGGGTCTTGTAGCTGGGGGATTCTGCTTGAAGACTTCTAATAGCAGATGGCCTCTTTGCAGCATTGTGACAGTGGTTATAATAAATGACTCAAGTCGGGCACAGTTACTTATGCCTATAATCCCAGCACTTTGGGAGACAGAGGCCAGAGGATTATCTGAACCCAGGGGTTTGATACCGACCTGGGCAATATGGCGATACCTCGTCTCTACAATAAATAAAAAAAATTAGCTGGGTGTGGTGGCGTAAACCTGTGGTTCCAGCTACTTGGAAGGCTAAGGCAGAAGGATCACCTGAGCCCAGCAGGTTGAGGCTGCAGTGACCGTGAGCATGACACACTCCAGCCTGGGCAACAGAGGAGACCCTGCCTCAAAAAAAAAAATGACTTAAGCAGACTGAGATCCCTCACTGTTCATATCTGTCAGCACATAGAGGTCCTTCCCATTGTCCTCCTTCTAGCAACCTTTTCATATTAGTAGGTCTTGTGGGAATAGTGATGGAGAAGAGTGGGAAAGGAGGAGCGTCTCAGAATCAAAGGAGGGCAGCTTGGCCAGTTTGTAGTTTAAAATACGTTAAGAAAATAAATCACAAATCTGCATAATGCCAGTATCCCTAGATTAAAACCGTAAGCTTTCACACCATCACCAAGGCTAAGAACTGTGACTCGATCTACACTTCAGGCAGCCCTGAACTGGGTTTTTTTTGGGTGTGGAGAACAGAAAAATTTAAAAAGCTTCTTCCTTATAACAAAAATGATCAGATATTCAGGTATGTTGCAGTAATCATTTTGGTAAAGAATTATCCTTATCACTCAAGGTGAGCAGTAGAATGACTTTGGGTATTTTTGATAGAGGTTACTAGTTTACAGTTTCTTTTGCAATTCTGTTGGACATGTCTGATTTGATTCTAGCTACTTGGTGAGGAATATAATTCCCAATTATATAACGTTACTTTAGGAAAGTATAATCTGTCTAATGGCAAAGTTTCAAAAACTAGATCTTGCCAGGCACAGTGGCTCATGCCTATCATCCCAGCACTTGGGAGGCGGAGGCAGGAGGATTGCCTGAGCCCAGGGGCTCAAGACTAACCTGGGCAACTTGGTGAGACCTCGTCTCTACAATAAATAAAAAATCAGCCAGGAGTGTTGGTGTGTGCCTGTGGAAGGTTCGCCTGAGCCCAGCAGGTTGAGGCTGCTATGTCTGTGAGCATACCACTACACTCTAGCCTGGGCAACAGAGTGAGACTCCAACTCAAAATAAATAAGTAGCTAAAATATAAAAATAACTAGATCTTTGGAGTAGGGGGAAAATCTGATAACCCACTTGATGAATATACTAGGTACTGCAGAGATGGTAAAGGGGCAGTAAGTACCCATATAGATGTGACAACAGGGGAACATGAGTGGATGGGTACTCCTACAGCACAGCACAGACAACCTGATCTCATATGTCCCTGTCATCCCAGGCCACTTAACTCTGTTCTCATCTTGCACACCAGTGTGCTTTGCCACCTGCTTTTACTCTGCTTGTCCCTCCAGCAACAAATGCATAAGCCACTTTTCAGGAGACCAAATTATTAAATTGAAACTCTTAAAGGATGTAACCCATTTCACATTGAGAAATCAGTTGTCCCTGGATGGAATTACCTGTGACCAATTTTTCTGTATGTTTGTAGAAAAGGCAGCAGTTGTGATACCATAGAAAGGAAACAGATACAAAAATTTAGATTGGCCAGGCATAGTGGCTCACACTTGTAATCCCAGCACTTTCACTTGCTGAGGCTGGAGGATCACTTGAAGCCAGGAGTTTGAGACCGGCCTGGACAACATAGTGAGACCCCATCTCTACAAACGTACATTTAAAAAAATTAGCTGAGCGTGGTGGTTTATGCCTGTAGTCCTAGCTACACAGAAGGCTAAGGCAGGAAGATCGCTTGAGACCTGGAGTTTGAGGCTGCAGTGAACTATGACTGGACCTCTGGCATTCCAGCCTGAGCACAGAGCGAGACCCTGTCTCCAAAAAAAAAAAAAAACAGGTGCTGTAAAGAAGTATCTATATTTGCCTGTCCTGCAGGAGGATGACTATAGACAGGGATAGCGAGGCAGGGCAGGTGACGTGAGATGGGTTTTCTTGATTTTGTCTGAATGTATCTGAGTAACAAAAAATAGCATCTTGGAAGAACTTGGATTGTTCGTTAGCTCCTCCTTTTGGTCCATGAGCCTATTGAACAAATCTGTAAATTCCTTCAAGTATCTCACTTGTCACTTGTCAGCTCAATGTGCCAGGGCTCTAGACCAAAGATTGTTTCTGTGAGATTGCAGGCTTATTCCTTCCAAATAGTAATGCAATTCTCTTTCTCTTTCGTTTTCAGGGAAGCAGAGTCTTTCAAGGAACAAGGAAATGCATACTATGCCAAGAAAGATTACAACGAAGCGTATAACTATTATACAAAAGCCATAGGTGAGAAGGACCTGATACTTATGTGAGAAAACACTTATTTGCCAAATACTGATAAAAATAGCTTCTCACCCAGGCGCTGTGACTCACACCTATAATCCCAGCACTTTGGGAGGCCGAGGTGAGAGGATTGCCTGAGCCCATAGGTTGAGACCAGCTTAGGCAACTTGGCAAGACCTCATTTCTACAATAAATCAAAAAGTTAGCCGGGCATGGTGACACATGCCTGAAACCAACAGATTGAGGCTGGGGTGACCGTGAGCATGCCATTGCACTCTAGCGTGGGCAACAGATTGAGATACTCGAACTCAAAAACAAAAAACAAGGTGCAGCTTTGGGAGGCTGAGGTGAGGCGATTGCCTGAGCCTACAGGTTCAAGAACAGCCTGGGCAACTTGGTGAGACCTCATCTCTACAATAAATCAAAAAATTAGCCGGGCATGGTAGTGCGTGCCTGTAGTTCCGGCTACTTGAAAGGCTTGGGCAGAAGGATTGCCTGAACCCAGCAGGTGGATGCTGGGGTGGCCATGAGTGTACTGCTGCATTCCAGCCTAGGTGATAGAGTGAGACTCCAACTCAAAAACAAAAAAGCTTCTCTCTGAGAGGTAGTCTCTTGCTTAGTGCATTGATATCTATCATCTTGTGAACTCCTTTAGGCTTAATGATCTCATGAGTGATTACTTTTTCTAGCTGGAATGGGTAGTTTTTCAAGGTAATTCCAAAAATACTGAATGTAAAAAGATATCCACCTGCATTCATCTCAGTCATTGCCATTTTGCTTACTATCTTAGAAAGTAGACTTCCTCTAATCCCAGCACTTTGGGAGGCTGAGGCGAGTGGATTGCCTGAGCCCACGGGTTCGAGACCAGCTTGGGCAACTTGGCTAGACCTCATCTCTACAGTAAATGAAAAAAATTAGCTGGGTGTGGTAGCGCATGCCTATAGTTCTGGCTACTTGGAAGGCTGAGGTGGAAGGATCACTGAAGCCCAACAGGTTGATGCTGGGGTGGTTATGACTGTGCAGTGGCTCACATCTGTAATCCCAGCATTTTGGGATACTGAGGTGGGAGAGTCAGCCTGGGCAACATAGTGATATCCTGCCTCTACAAACATAAAAATTTTAAAGTTAGCTGGGTATGGTAATGCACTCCTGTAGTCCCAGCTGGTTAAGAAGCTGAGACAGGAGGATCACTTGAGCCTAGAAGTTTGAGGCTGCTGTGAGCTATGATCACACTGCCACTCCAGCCTGGGTGACAGAGTGGTATGTTACCCAAAACAGTTCACTAGGAAAAAAAATTTTTTTTTTTTTTAATCAGAATCTTACTCTGTTGCCCAGGCTATAGTGCAGTGGCATGATCACAACCACTGCAGCCTCAACCTGTTGGGCTCAGGCAATCCTTTCACCTCAGCCTTCCAAGTAGCCAAAACTGTAGGTGTGTACCATCACACCTGGCTAATTTTTTGATTTATTGAAGAAATGAGGTCTCACCAAATTGCCCAGGCTGGTTTTGAATCCCTGGGCTCAGGCAATCCTCTTGCCTCGGCCTCCAAAATGCAGGGATTATAGGCGTGAGCCACCATGTCCAGCTCATTAAGAAAATTGGCCGGGCTCGGTGGCTCAGCCTGTAATCCCAGCACTTTGGGAGGCCGAGGTGAGTGGATTGCCTGAGCCTGCAGGTTTGAGACCCGCCTGGGCAACTTGGTGAGACCT